AGATCTTTCATCTGCTTTTTATTTCACAAATGGCCTCAATGGCAGGGGCTGGACGAGGTCAAAGCCAGGATTTTGCAACTCTTTCATATCTCCCTATGAGTAAAGGGGTCCAAGTATTTAGGCCATTTCTTTCTTTTTTCCTAGGTACATTAGCAGGGAGCTGTACATAAAGTAAAGAATCCAGGACTTGGGCCCAGCACAGTGGCCTAGTGGCTAAAGTCCTCGCCTTGAACATGTCGGGATCCCATATGGGTTCTGGTTCTAATCCTGGCAGCTCCACTTTCCATCCAGCTGCCTGCTTGTATCCTGGGAAGGTGGCTGAGGACGGCCCAAAGCCTTGTAACCCTGCACCCATGTGGGAGACCTGAAGAACTTTCCTGGCACCTGGCTTCAGATCGGCATAGCATTGACCGTTGCACTCACTTGGGGCATGAATCATCAGACAGAAGAGCTTCCTCTCTGTCTCTCCTCTGTATATCTGACTTTGAAATAAAAATGAATAAACTAAAACAAAAAAAGAATCTGGGACTTGAACTGGCACTTAGATGGGATTTCAGGCTGTGGTTTAACTTGCTGTGCCACAATACTGGCTCCCAGACAGGCACCATTCTATGTACATTACCTGTGTTAATACTGACAGTGGTATGAAATAGGTAAATAGTGAGACCATTATTCTGGGGCCAGTGCTGTGCCACAGTAGATTGCTGGTATCCCATATGAGTACCAGTTTGAGTCTTGGCTGCTCTGCTTTTGATCCAGCTCCCTGTTGTCTACAGCCATACCACCCTAAACGCACCCGATCTCGTCTGATCCAGTTCCCTGTTAATGATCTGAGAAAACAACAGAGAATGCATCAAATGCTTTGGCCCCTTCCACTCATGAAACTTCCACGGATGAAACTCCTGGTCCAGCCCTGGACACTGCAGTCATTTCAGGAGTGAACCAGAGGATGGAAAACTTCTTCCTTTCCCCACTACCTTCTCTTTCCCTCTCCCTGTCTCTAACTCTGCCTTTCAAATAAATGAACAAATATTAAAAAAAAAATTGAGGGCAAGCAGTGATTAGAATCCTTTTAATGAATAATAGCTAAACAAATTAGTTATCTGTTATTCCAAAAAGAAAGACTCCCAGAAACACACAGACAAAATAATAAGTGAGGTCCAGTGTGCAGCCAGATAGAGGATACACACAGAAATCAGTAACAGCCTCTTAACTAATGACAAAGAGAACCTATTCTGAAAGTAAATAAAGTATATAAGGAGTCTTCAGAAAGCTTACAGCAAATGCATATTATGAGAAAGTTTTCCAATGATTATGTTATTTTTGCACCAAAACAAACCTTTTTTCAAATTTCCTTTTCCAGGAATTCATTTTGAAGCATCTCTGTACATTTGACAGATATTTGGCAACGCTGTTCAAGTGCCACTGACCAGTGGCAGCACTGTGGGTACAGCAACAGAGCCTCTGTCCTTTTGGCACTTGTATCCTGGTATAGCAGGCGGACAATAAACAGAGACAAACATGAATGCTATAGGCCAGAGGGTGATAAATACCATGAAGAAATATAACAGGATACGAACATAAAGTGAGGTGGGGATGCTATATTAGCTGGACAGAGCCAGGGAAAGCCTTCTGACACACAGAAGTCAGAGCAGAAATCTGGGCACATCTGGAAGAGAGCATTCCAGGAGAGGGCCAGCAAGCACCAGGGCCAGTGCACAAGACCAAAGTGAGACAAGACGAGGGAAAGTGAAAGATCTGTAGCCAAAAAGGCAGCCGAGGCCAGATGACATCATGAACTGCTCTCTATGATGAGGACTTAAGATTTTATCCTAAGACAGAAAGCCACTGAAGAGTTTTGTTATTAGTAACATGATTTAATTAACATTTGGGAGCGTGATCTGATGCTCCATGGAAGTGAGTCTGTGTGTAATAAGGCAAGAACAGAAACAAGGCAATCAGCAGACTTTGTATCATCCTGGTAGAGGCCTGATAAATCCAGAAATGAATGCACACAAATGAAGACCAAAAAACTCAGATTGAGACACATAAGCTTGAATGAGAACTTTATGTCCTCTGAAAAGACTCAACATGAGTTTTTTCCCCTTATTTTGTCCCTCATTAAGAGCTGACATTTGATAGTGCTTACTATGTGCCAGACATTACTCTAAGCATCTTACATCTGTTAATACAAGAAACCCTTTCAAGTGGGTACTATTATTTTTCCCACTTAAATAAGACTAAACTGAAGCACAGAGCTAGAATCTGAATAAAATCTGGCTGCAGTATTCCTCCCTACAAATCAGCAAAGGACATGTTGCTCAACTGTCTCAGACTTCATTATTTTTTTTAAATTTTGTTTTCTGACACAGTTTCATAGGCTCTGTGATTTCCCCCAACCCTTCCCTACACCCTCCCCTCCATATTGCTACAGTAGTACAGTCCATGTCCAGGAATGATTCCTTCACTGTGGGCATGTACCATGCAGAGATTCCAGGATCTTATTGTCCAGACAAATTCAACGGTTTCATTGGGAGACCATCCCTGGTCTGAAAGTAGAGCTGGCAGAATATCATCTCCACCAATGAAAAGTCACTACACAACTTCAGCAACGATTTACAACATCATGAAGTTAACTGACATCGTACTGAGTGACCAATATGTTAGAAAATGCAAAATTCTTAACCACATCCTGTGACTACCTCATTGGCATTTCAGTTTTAGTTTATACACAACTGGCTGCTATACACCTTAAAATGGTTATAGGGTACCATTCAGCTGTCTTGTGTCTATTTTCATTTTTATATTTAGCAGCTTATAGTATTCAAGCATGATTTTTATTGAATTCATGAATTTTAGGATAGTAAAAATAGGCTTATAACTCAAACATGCCATATGTTAACAATTGAGGAGCAGAACAGTTTTAGGAGGGGTGTGCAGAGAAATCTTCAATACCTTAGTGAGGAGTAACTGATCTTTGTGTCCTACCTATTCAGGTATATGTGAGTCCAAGCTGACTGTTTCCTGTCTAGATCTAAGCTTTCCTTATTGGTCTCTGTCTACCTGATCTAATTTCTTTTTTGGGGGGTGGGGGGGGCTCCGGAGAGACCCTTGATGGTCCTTGCAAGACAGGGTGGGGATCCAAAGTTGGAACTAAATAAGGACCAGAGAAAGCTCCTCTCCCGAGTCCCCAAGGAAGTATTACAGAAGAGATCAGTGGAACAGAATACAGAGCCCAGAAATAGACCCATATAAACATAGTTATATGGTCTTTGACAAAGGAGAAAATGCAACATGAGGAAAGATTACTTCTCATTAAGCCCTCGCCAGCATCCAAAAGCTCTACTAGAGTCTCATTCAGTCTCTTCTTCTGCCCTGGCTGGGGACTCAGAAGTGCTAACCTTAGCCTACCTATGTATGGCTTTCACCTCAATGGACATGAGCCCCTGGGAGCATCCATCTTAGCCTCTCAACCCTCCTTACTTTCTTCTCAATAACTCACCAGAGACTGTCATCTAGAATAGGATATCACAATCTGTGGAACCTCTGGAAAGCAGGACAACAGTAATGGCCTCTCAAGGTTTCTTTTGTATACTAAAAACTTGAAACCCTGACAGATGACAACTAGAACATGTTACAGTGGAAGGAAGAGCATGAAGAAGCTATATTACAGAGACACCTCTCCTGCCCATGCCTAGGTTCAAATACCCAGAACCTTCTGTGAGTCAGATATACCACTGTAGAGAGATCAAGATCACTGCAGAGAGATCAAATAGAATGTACTGTGAGTCAGACGTACCACTGCAGTGAGATCTAGGGTACTACCTACAGTATAACCACACTTACCTCATATCTTCCTCCCCGGCTCCTCCAGCCACGCCTTACACAGCAAAGAGCAAAGTCTCAAAGCAGCACATCCTTTGCAAATAAGGCTGCTAGATTGTGCTAGGTAAGCACAGAAGATCTGGAGCCTTTTGGAAGGATTTTCTTTAACTTTTTTTTTTTTAATATTTATTTGAAAGACAGATCTACAGAAAAGAGAGACAGAGAGACAGAGAAATCTTCTAATCCACTGGTTCACTCCCCAAATGGCTGCAATGACCAGAGCTGAGCAGATCCAAAGCCAGGAGCCAGGAATGTCTTTCAAGATTTCCTAAGTGGGTGCAGGATCCCAAAGACTTGAGCCATCCTTTGCTGCCTTCTCAAGTCATAAGCAGGGAGCTGGATCAGAAGTGAAGTGTTGGGACATGAACCGGTGCCTTGGAAGGATTTTCAACATGAAGTTTGTTATTATCAATGTAGGCTTCAGCTACCAGCGTTGGGGAGATTAATCAGTCTAAGCAACCCACTGACTATTCTTTCCCAATTAACCACAGTGTTGCTGGATCTTTTCTACCAAAGTTCCCTACTGGTGAAGGCAAACACTAAAAAAGCAAACAGTGGAGCTGGAAGCTTTTAAAATACAACAGCAACCACAACAAAATGCATGGCATAGCAAACATTGTAATCATTACATGATTCAATACAAAATTACCTCCCACTTCTAAAACACACTGGAAATTAGCTGGAGAAGGGAGCTAACACCTGCCTTAGTTGGCAAAGTCTGCCAGATTTTGAGTTTCAGCTCGGCTGTAATTAGCCAAGATGTGCTCTGAAACATTTACAACAGAATCAATATCACTGCACACAAACTGTCTCCCAGCCAGGATCTAAACTGTAACAGTGACAAGCATGCATGTGTCTCAGCAGAGAAACATCCAAACCATCACACCAACAGCACAGCTCTGCAAGTCCTTAAAGGCACACATATGAGGAGGGGGAGAGGGGAGGGCCGTGAAGGGAGGAGAGAGAGAAGGACAGAAAATGACATGAGCATGTACAACAAAACTATTTAAAAATAAATTTAACCAGGAGCTTCTTTATATTCCAGAACAAGAACATAAGAGAAGGTTTCTGGCATGTGGGGTATGAAACATTAGCCATTGAGCCCCCTAGCACACCTGCAATGATCCCGTCCATCTGCTCCAGGGCAGCTTCCAGCGCATGACTAGCATCAGAAGCCATGATTCCTTTGTCTCCTCTTCTTACTGAAAATTCAAATACAGAACAAAGGAAAATTACAGCGAGCTCAAAATACACACAAGGCAGAAAACCCTCTCCATTGTCATACAATGCACTTTCATAAGGAATCCTACTAGATGGACTGGTGGCTAAAGTCCTCACCTTATACACACCTGGATCCACATGGGTACCGGTTCTTCTCCCAGTGGCCTCACTTCCCATCCAGCTTCCTTCCTGTAGCTTGGGAAAGGAGTCGTGGACAGCCCAAAACCTTGGGAACTGGCACTTGCGTGCGAGACCCAGAAGAGGCTTCTGGCTTCAGACTGGTTCAACTCCAGTCATTGCAGTCACTTGGGGAGTGAATCAATGGACGAAAGATCTTTCTCTGTCTCTGCTTCTCTCTGTATATCTGACTTTTTAACAAAAATAAATAAATCTTTTTTAAAAATTAAAAAAATGATCCTACTAGAGGCATAAGTATAGTTTCCTATGTATCCGTAGTGTCGCCCTTATGGCTTGGGTTTTTTTTTTTTTCCGTTTTGAATATTCAGCATATGATTCCATTCATTTCTGCAATGAAAAGCCAGCAGAGCTCCCTGCAACAGCAGACAGTGGTTTCTACACTTCCCCAGGAGGCACAGGCCCAGGCTCCAGGGTCCACACCAACCCCTGGGCAATGCTCTGCGGTCCAATCACTGCATCTGCTGCAAGCTGCATGCTTTCCTTGGTAGCTAAGGTACAGGCTGTGAGGTCTGAACTACAACTTTCACTCCTCCAAGTGTGTCAGTGATGTGAAAAGACACTGTCCTACAAGCACTGTATCTTACCACCTCATTTAAATATATATATTATTTATTTGAAACAGAGATGCACAAACAACTCCCATCTGCTGGTTCACGCCTCTAAATGCCCCTCAACAGTAATCTCTGGGCCAAGTCAAAGTCACGAGCTCAGAACTCAGAGCTTCCCAAGGGATACCAGTACTTGAATCACTGCCTGATGTATCCCAAAATACACATTAGCAGGAAACAGAAATCAGAAGCAGAGCAGAAATACAAGGTCAAGCACTCAGATGAGACAGGACTGTTCCAGGCAGGATCTTAATCACAGTACCTGCATCCATCCAAGTATTTAATCATCTTAGATCCATTCCAGGTTCACAGAGTCCCATCCTCTCAGGGTCAAAGAGTATCTCCCAAGACACACAGCCCATCCACTCTCCAAATGCGGAGTCTCACCTAAAAGCCCTATCAAAATTGGAACTGGCCACACTTCCCCAGCAGCAACTATCTCCATTTCTAACAACTCAGCTGCTCAGGAAGGTTTTAACTCTTAGAAAGCTAAACTGCCTTCCTGCAGCCTCCACCTGGGTAGCAAGGAGGGGCTTACCAGCATCTGTAACCCTAAGGAGAGATTCAGCTCATGTCTGTAAACTGAGAGCAGGACTTATTTGCTTGCTCTCAAAGCTGTGTGTGTGCTTAATGGGCACAAGTGCTACAGATGACAAAGGCATCACTCCCACACCACAGTATGATTCAGGCCAAGACACAAATGATACTAGGGTTCCTGCTTGTTTTCCCTGTGAAGAGTGAAGGGAGGAAAGTGGGAACCACATGGGAGTGGTTTTGGGATGGATAGGTAAAGGATCTCAGGACCATAAGAACCATACTGGACTGTCACAGGCAGTACCAGTTATACTTCCAGGATCTTCAGTCAGACAGCCTGAGTTCAAACCAGTTTACTATGTGACCTCTGAGCCTCAGTTTCCTCATATGTAAAATGGGAATAAGAGGACTGGGGTTATGACTGAAGGGTACATCTTTCATAGGGAGGATTAACTCCATTCCTGTGAGATAAATGAAGATGTATCAGACTGTTTTCCCCTTCTCTTTATAAGACAGCAGATAACCTAAGGACACATTTCTGCATGGACAGTTTACCAGATGAGACTTCAAGCTAAAATGAGATAGTCTCCAGGAACAGAAATCCAGTGAAGCTCAAGGTGCTTGCTCATTTGGAGGTGAGTATGGCACAGGAAGAAAGTAACTCTGTGTCTGGAGGTGGAGAGTGCAGAGGGTCACAGCTGGAAAGGCCAAGACAGGTTCAGAAATGGGCATTCTGCCTCAGGGGCTAAGTACCACTGCACAGCTTAGAAGGAACGCCGTGAGCCGGGTGGGGGTGCTGGGCTGGTGCCTCATGGCTATCACAGGTTCCTTAGCAAGAGCCAGAGAAGGCTGCCACAACGACCAGAGCAGCTCCAGGGTAAGAGCAGCCCAGGAACACATACAGTATGGAAATCTTAGAGTCTGAATGGAAGCAAACTTGGGTCATGATAAAGGAGGCAGCAGGAAAAAGGAAGTTAGTGGAAGTAAGGCAAAAGGCTAGCAGATTTTCACCTGCTCATCCATAAGGGGTGCTGAAAAATACACTATCTTTCCCCCAAATTAGTTACCACTGTTCTTGGATTTTTAAACTTTGACAAAAGAGGTGCCGCATGCTCTAGCTGGCCAGCCTCACATGCTCTCCCTGGGGCTCCCTATCTCAGCAGCATGGGTCCTGTCTGCTCCCCAAAACTCCAAAATCAATTCCTCTTTTGCAGGTCTATACCTGCCAACCCTTGTGCCCGGAGCTCACTCTACATTATTCTTACCCTTCAGGTCTCAGATCCAAAGCACCTTTTCAGAGAGGCCTTCCAGGCACACTCAGCCATCTAAAGCAGCGCCTTCAAAGCACAGCGATTTCAAAGTATCTGATCCATAAATCTGTCTCCTTGGTAACTGACCATCTTCTCCATGGAAAGGGGGACTCGGCCTGCTTTGTTCACTCCTGTGTTCCTAGTTCCTAATGGAGGGCCTGGCACAAATAAGTTCATGAGTAAAGTCCTGTAAGTTTATGGATGGATCCATGTAGCCAACATCCCCTGAAACTCTGAGTTTGGCTGCGGGGGTAGGGAGTGAGAAGCCTGGTTAATCAGACCTAGTTTCCGACCGTATAGGCTACATGGTTTTAAGGGAGAAGACATAATTATGAAGAAATACTTACAACACAGTGTTAAGTGTGCCAGTAGCGGCAGGAATGCAGTTTCCCAGGAGCTAGGTCAGAAACAGAAGGAAAATGCTATTCAACCCAGAAGGGGTGGGAAGTGAAAGCAGGTGAGCATGTAAAGGCAGGATACAGTTGGCAAAGGTCATTATAGTTGATGAGATTATACTGAGGCAGCCAGCAGCTCAATGTGAGTCAAACCTTCTGTGGGACTCACATAAATGGGACAAGGGCAATTAATGAGAGGAGCCTGGGAATTACACCCACTACTCCAGGGTTCTGGCTGCTGATGCAGAACAAAACAGCTTGCCTCAGTTGGAAACCTCAGGGATTTTTAAAAGGAAGTTCTTACTCATGTCAGCAGACTCATGCCATTGATGAGCTGTGTACCTGGTCCTGCTTTTGGGCCTCAGTCCCAGAGAGAAAGGTGGGTGGGCTGTTAGTTACAGGGTGCTAAGCCCAGAGAGCTCAGGCTGCACCCTCTATAGTAGAAGAGCTATTAAGCGACCATGGGCCCTCTGCCCAGTGATGAGCTTACACTTGGCAAACTGTGAGTTGGGTGGACCTGTGGGAGCTGCTGTGATGTAAAATAAAATATGAGTCAAAGGTGTGCCCGAGTCATAACCCAGGAGCTAAGTCAACAAGATTGGAAGCTCAATCCTGGGAGCTTCTCTGGGCAGAGCTAAGGAGCCCAATTTTAGATCTACTGGGTCTGAGGTGACAGCAGGATACCTAGGTAAGAACAAGTTCCCTGCCAGCTCAGCTGCAGGGTGGCTGTGAGAGATCAGAGATGCCAGACGTGAAGGCTGGCTATGTCAGGCCTCCTGCCCCTATCTGTGAACCTTCCTCCTTAAAAATAAAACAAGTAAGACTGCTTCTTCTTCTCATCAGCAAATGTACATGGTAACCCCCACTCCCTACCCCAGGAAACAATTCTCTGCTTCTTTGAAGACTTCAGTGGAATGTGCCACAACTCAATTCCATTAATTTCCAACACTATCTAACTGGAGTGTTAGATCCCATAGGCTGAGGGCTCAGCCTCCCAAAACCCTCAAAAGGCACGCTTCAAAAGGCAATGCAAGTCCAGGCCACCCTCATGACTATGAGGGTTCTAAACTGAACATTCCCACACCCACTTACTCTGGTATGATATGTGCCAGAATAACTCATAGAACCCAGGGAAACACTCACGTTTACCAACGTATTATTAAGGATACAACTCAAGAAGAGCGAAATGCGAGAAAAACACAGGGCAAGAAATGGGGGGTGGGGATACATAGTTCATGTGCGTTTACAGCAGAGCTGTCCCTCACCAGTCCAGAAGGCCTCCAAGTCACCTTGCTTAGGGTTTTAAAACAGAGCTTCTATGATACAGCCATGATTGATTAAGCACTGGTGACTAAGCCCCATCTCTAGCCCCTCTCCTCTTCCTAGAGGTATGACAGTAGAGAGCTGGAGAGTGGCAGGGAGTCATATGGTCTCAGTATTGGTTCCTCTGGTAATCAGTTCCCACCCTTCAGTGGTCACTTGATTAGCAGAGATACAGCTATAGATGAACAGTTTACCATGAATTTTTTTTTTAAAAAAATATTCTAACACTTTCCATGAGATTTAGGAAAAACACAATATGTAGATAGATAACATCTTAATAGCAAATATGTTATCTGAAACACACACACCCACCATGTTTGGTATCTTCCACATCTGTTCTTTTCAAGAGGAATGCAGCATCTTCCCTGGGAGCATGAATTTATCAGGAAAATGGGGCTCCAGTGAATGAACCTCTAGAGGCATAATGCCTGGAGCCCTTCTGGACAGAAGTAAGGTGAAGAAGCCAGAGAGAGCATCCTGAAGACAACAACTTGGAAGGGAACAAAGTGGACCAGAAACCAGGTCAAAATTCAAGGGAACAATTCAAAAGAGGATGATCTCTGAACAGTACAAGGAAGTAGAACTTATGTCATTTTCCCTACCAATGAGAG